GTCTCTTGGGAGTCATTCTGAGGTGTCTCATCTCGCCCAAAACAACTGCATGACCATTGGAGAGGTTCACTATCATACACAGTTGTTGCATTTCTCTCATACCCAACAGAACAGGAACACCCGGTGAAGGAAGTGCATACAGTTGTAGGGTTATGGAACCAAAATGGAGCTTCACCTTGTAACTAGCCTGACCCCATGATCCCGAACCATAGCGGAAATATGGCCGATCTTCTGTGACGACTGTCAAGCTAAGGTCTGGCCGCGATTGGGCCAAACTGTGGAGAAGGTTCTTCACAGCTGTCTCGCCACCGGCTGACACCGTTGCACCTGAATCGATGATAGCCTCTTCAGGTCGGATGGCAGCACGTGAATCCGCTTGGCTCACTGGGAAAAAGGAAAGGTCTGGTGAGAATTCTGCCTCGGGGATCATGTCTGTCATAGTCATCATGTGGTGCTCTTGAGGCTCCATGAACATCCCAGCATGAGAGGAAGGTCTCTGAGACATCTGATTCCTATTCTGAAAGTTTGAACGCCCTGCAAAACGATTCTGTTGCGGTGGACGCCAACCAGAGGAACCGAAAGGACGGTTGTGGTAGCCGCCCTTGCCATGAAACCCATGCCCCTTCTGCTGAAAGAAATTGGTCTGTGACCGATGTCCCTTGCCCTGCATGAACGTGCTGGCGCCCTTCTGGGAACCGTGTGGTGGAGAACCCTTTGAACCTGAGCTCTTCCAGCCACGATCCTTCTTTGCTTCTTGGACTGCACGTCTAGCTTGCTCCAAGTTGCGCTGAGCATCAACCATCATGGCATTCAGCTCTTTCTCTTCTTCTTGAAGCTGTGAAAGCACATGCAAAGCTTGGTCCTCGGTCATGGATTCTGGATTCACCTCAGACTCTTCAGCTTGAGGATCATCTGCGGTCTCCTGAAACTCTTCACCATAGTAACCATCCTCAAGGTATTCACCCTCAGGATAGTCATGACTACTGCCCCAATAGTCTTGGTACTGCATGTCCTCACCCTCAAACTCTTCCACTATGTTTGCCATATGTCCTTTGCCCCGTCCAAAACCCTTGGGAGGATTGTTGATCCCTCGCATACCACGGTCTTCGTGGAGTGACAACAAGGCTGATCGAATGTTCTGGTATCCGAGCTTGTTTTGCGTTGCTGCTTTGACCAGACTCTTGTCCAGTTCAGTGGCGCTCGCACACTCCAACAAAAGCCAGCCTCGAATAATGTCTAAGGCCGCGAGCGGGATCAAGCCTTTCTGCATCAACCTCTCAATCAAGTCAAGGCGCTTGGAAGGTTTCTGAGGACTTGAACCGATTGGCATAGTGTGGTGAGATTCGGACTGCGATCGGGACAGTGGCGGCTGTGGCAGGTCTTCATCTTCTGCTTCTGCATTTGGTTCACGGTTTCCAGCGAAACGAGATGGATGAGTGCTCCCACTCCCGCTCCCGGAACCCTGAGAAAAGGCCCCGTGAGTTGACTCATGCTCAAACTCCCCTGGGACATAGAAACTCTTGTCCGCCATGCCGCAAAAATCTTTCAATTCATCTAGAGAGCAATCATACTGGTCGAAATCCAATTCCTTTTCCCGAAGCAACCTTTGAAGGGCTCGCCACATGGAGTCATACAGCGTTTCTTCCCTAACCAAAAACTGAGGAATGGTTTCCTGTGGCTTCCTACTGAGTCGCCTGTAATAGGCGGACAACTGCCGCCCAGCATCCGGAATTGGCTGCCGGTTCATTGGCGAAGCCTCCAAAAATGATATCAGACGAGTCACAGCATCTTCGGTGGTGAAGTCCGCTGGGTCCAGTTTGTAGGCCAAGGACTTGAGGGAAGGATAATCGCTCTCCAAGATGCGACGAACTAATCTTGCTGCTGCATACGGTCTTTCTGAGGATTTCGTTCCAGCTAAATGCCATTTGATCTCTGTGATGTAATGAAAAAAAGGTTTCAGGTCGGCCATCCCAACTAGGAACCCTGTTGAAGGAGGATCCCTGACCAACATCTTTGGACATCTCTCTGAGAAGCCTCGAGGGGACAAACCAAAAAGGAAAAACTGGCCCTGAACGTACAAGGCTCCGCGGCACCAATGTGTCAAACCGCCAAGTTGCGTAGATTGCGAACGTCGTGCGAAAGCGGAAAGACGAGATCAAACAAGGAGGATCAAAACATGGCTTAGGCGGTCCGTGCCACCCTTTTAACACTCCGTCTAAGTCTGAGCTCAAGAGGCGCCCCTGCGGACGAGAACATGAGTACCCCGCACCTGTGGTTCCGTAGACCACTGAGATGTGCTAAGGTTGGTAAAATCGGGCTTCACACATTTCATGAAACAGCTTGAACATGTTTGTCAGCAGATCGAAGCACCTCGTTGAACTCCCCTTGGGAAAAAACATAACTGGACAACAGGTCGCTCTAGGTAGCTGTCAGGAAAGAGCTATGGCTATGAGTTTTGCCAGCCGATTACATGTATAGATGTAGGCAGGTAACAGTGTATATATGCGTGCATGTATATAAAAGTATATGTCGCGTATGTATGAGTGTGTAGGTAAACATAGACACTGAGCTCATTTGCAGGTTTGGTCGAGGTCCATGTCTTAGGAGGTGAGGCTGCAGACGCGGTTTCGCCGCACCGTGTGCCACCTTCTCAGCACTGTGGCAACAAGCCTCGCTGACACCACCCGTCATCCCGCTCACCAGTGACAACACACACACACACACCCATGTTTCTCATCCCCCAACGGCACGGAGCCACGCAAACCGAGTTTCTACCGAGGCCTCGTCAAACCGAATGGCGCAGCGACATCAGAGACGCAATTTACAAACGCAGTTCCACCCACGGCCCAGGAAACATGGCACAGCAAGATGGGGACGTATTTTCGCAGCACTGTTTGCCATGCCTGCCACTCTCCGTGCTACTTACTAAGTTGCCAAATTCAGAATCTACTCGCACAACCTTTGTACTAGAAAGTTGCCAGTTCTGAGCCTGGAGGAATGTGGCAGCCTGGAGCTCCCAGAAGCTACTCCAGCCCTCGCGCTTCTTTTGCACTGCAAAGTTGTCAGCTTGTAGAGGGTATTTCCCGTTCGTGCATTTGCGCAACAAAGTTGTCAATTGTGAGCATTTCGCGCGATTTGAACACGTTAAAGTTTAAGCTTTAAGATTAGCGTTTCGTGGGACTCGTCCGCCGAAAAAGGAAAATTGAAGAGCCCACATGCGCGATCCCACCGGGGACGGAACGAATGCTTAAAAACCTTCATGTCTGCGTATCTGATGTAACACGCACTTCAGAGAGAGCTCATGTGAGCGACATTCAGAGTGGTTCTCACGGAGCATTAGCGCTCTATTTTATTGCATTAGACGAGCGCATTCGCCCTTGAATGCAGAAACAACGTATGAGAAGGCGGTAAGCTCCATTTAAAATCACACGATCAGAAAGGGTTGCAAATCGATGCAGGTACATGACTTATGGCGTCCCAAAGTCATATCACGACGCAATGGAAAGGGCAATGCCTTCCAAAGTGTCCATTGCCCCCCCTGCTGGAGTTGATGGACATTGAAATTGATTAAAATCGTTGCAACATCACTGATAGAATGGGGTAGGGTCCTTGGAGACGGGAGGTGACACACACACACACTTAGACAATGGGTTTTCAGTCAACTCAATTCCACGTCAAAAAGAGCGATGGAACCGAAAGGCGGCTGAGTCCGGTGACCTGTAGGTGTTTGAAAAGCATGTTTGCGCACATCTGCAGAGATTCAGCGGCGACTCACAAGCTGCGGAAAGCGGCGGAGGGAAAACCTGTATAGGGGTAAGCGTCGCGCAAGAACCATGGAATCAAAAGGTGAAAAAGTGGAGTCACAGCGTGGGCAAAAGTTCCATCAAATGCCATAGCTTCGTTGGGACTGGATAGGCAAATCGGCTCCAGCCCCCCTGCATCAAATAGAAGAAAAGTCGTACGAGAACTCCTTGGGACGGAGTGTGACACACACACACACACACATACACGCGCGCGATCGCTGCAGAGGGCTCAAATGGTAAAAACCATTACGTTGGAGCATCTGACACTTAGGATTGAATTCTTACGAAGGCCGCCAAATGCCTGGAAGAGGCCTAGGAAAGAAGTGTTTGAGGAAGTGAAAGCAGTCTGACGTGCGGAAGCGGGCGTGATTGAACGTCTTGAAATTCCAAGTGCAAAATATTCCAAAGATCCAAAGTTCCATTATCGAGCTCAACGTCACAATCGATCGACGAACACTTATTTTATCAGGAACTGCAAAGCGAATGCAACGTCTCGTCGTTTTGTTTTAGTTAAAAAGAAGGGGCCAATAGGAAGTCAATGGTAATCACAGCAGGTACACATGAGGACCTCTCCCAATGTATCACCAGAGAATGTGGAGGTTTCGTTGACAGTGATTCCACAAACTCTTTCGCTGCCCCCTGCTATAAAGCAAGTGTCAGAAGACAAACTTAAAAGTTGTCACCCATGACTCGACCGCAAAAGGGTCACATTTCGCAACGGTTCTTCGCCCAGCCCCGCCTTAGAGAGAGAGAGAGAGATGTATATATATATATATATGTGCAAGTTCTCCACATGCAAGAAATAAACAGCAATTCACATGTGCAACCCCAGCTGAAATTCTACACGTGCAAGATCACAAACTGACATCTAAATGTGTACTTCTACACATGCAAGATCATCAGTTGAAATCTACATGTGCGTCTCTACGTAACGTATGCAAGACGCACAGCTAGAATATGCACTTGCATGTGTATGTATGCCAGGCGTGGATGTGGATATGTTATACACGTGATGGTGGACAGCAGATGTAGAAGTAACTGAAGTCACAGTGTAGAAGTAACTAGCGCGTTTTTTTCAATGAAGAACCCTTCGCATTGCTTCCGGGAAAAATCATTGGTTTAGTTGAGCATGATGCTTGACAGACATATTTGGGTTGTCAAGCGTATTGCTAGAAACACAAGACAAGTCTATGACAGGAATAAAAAGAAGAAGGACGGCACAGGGCGAAGCGCACTGAAGCTTAGCGCGCTCCTGACAGGCTTTCCTGGCAACAGAGAAATCTCAAAGGAACGATGAATGGATGACACTCAGGACATGTTCAGTTTCTACCCAGAAGCTAGAGGTTTTCTCAATTGTACGGATTCAGAGTTGACTTTTTGTGATATTTGGAGGTGAAGACCTGTACAAGCTCCTTGAGGTCAGTGAAACCTCCTCTGTTGAGGCATGGCGATGTCTGGTTTTGTGCAATCTGGCCAAACAATGTCAACCGTTTTTCCTCCTGTTCCTTTGGTTCGCTCAGCAAATCAAGAAGCAGTACCGGAAGCTGGCCTTGCAGCACCACCCTGACAAGCAAGGTGCGATGTACAGCTGTATTTGGGCTTAAGAATCGGGAAACCTGTTGGGAACGAAGTGCCAGCAGGGCTACCCTCTGAAATGCTTGATATGAAGTCCGGTGTCCAAAGTTCACACATTTGATGACGCCGGAAACCGGTGTCAGGCATGGGCGGCATAGAGTGCTTAAAAAAGGCAAACTCAGGTTTCATGAGTGTGATGGTTTCGGAGTCTCAGGTGGAGATGCAGGCGAAGAGAAGGCCTCTGGCTTGTCCGAGAAGGACTTTGGGTGGTCAAAGCATGAAGCTGCACGGACGCTTTTGCCAAATCCTTGGGAGGATCAGCACTTCATCAAAATACAAGAAGCATACGAGGCAGATGTTCTCGAGATGTTTGGATCGCTGCAGCATTTATATATACCCTTGAGCCAATTCGAGAGGTACTTTCAGATCAGTCAAAACGTCGACAGTGCCCAGCTTAGATTGATTTGGAATGATAGTTTGCTTCCAAAGAATTCGACCTGATTCAGAAAGAATGCTGGAGGTATGACTCAACGTTGGACTTTGATGATAGCGTTCCAGACGAGGCTTTCTTGGTCAATATGCGATCAACCATTTTTTGTGCTCAGACCATTTTGCTGCACCTGGAACGATGGACAGTCAATTACTCCTGGTTTGCATTGACATGGCCATTCAAATTACAGTATTTTGTTTTGAGGCTTGTGTTGATGGAAACCTGGCGATCCACATTCTTGTTGCAAGCCCGTGTTCAGCCAACTCCCCCATACAGGTGGATGAACAACTTGGCTTCTATGAGACCTTCGCACCCGTCTTCCGCAAGAATGCGCGCTGGAGCACCAGGTTCCCAGTGCCCGAACTGGGTGATGAGAAGACAGAGATGACCAAGGTCCACAAGGAGAGGGCCTGTTTTCGTGGGTGTATTTTACGATGTGTACGTCGTATGCGTCAGGGTTCTGTGATGAATCTGGCATGTCATAGCACATCCCTCTAGCCAAACTCACAATGCGCTTGCAGTTCTATGATTTCTGGCTCTCCTTTGATTCCTGGCGGGACTTCTCGATGCACGACGAGTGCGGAGCTGGCAGAGCTGTGAGGAATGGGACATGGGAATTCGATAATGGGTAACGCAAGCTCAAAACCTTGCAACTACCCAAACACAACTAGAATCGGGGGCTTAATTCCAATGGATTACAGCAAACCATACCATTCTTTTTTGCACCTGACCTCTACCTTTGGTTGTGTAGAGACAATAGGGATTGACCTCCAATAGAATCGGGATTCAGGGCGGGATGATGAGCGTCCAAGTCTAAAAGGCTGTCGCCGCGGGAGGTTCCACAACAAGAGGACGCTACTAGAAGCAAGGGCATCGCTACTGGGCTCCTGGCATCGCTACTAGGAGCAAGAAGCTACTAGGGGCTCCTGGCCTTACTACCAGTAGCACGAGGACACTACTAGGAGCATCAATATTCCCAACTCTGATCTTTTCCGAAAAGAGGTACAACCTCGAGGATGCGGAGTTTCGAGAGGTGCTTTTTTTCATGGATTTCGTGAGCCGGTGCCTGGACTAACTGTGGAGCGACAGGAACGACGGTGGATGGAGAGGCAAAACCAGCGCGTGAGGAAGAAGTGCGCCTTTGGATCCGATTGTCACTTTAAGAGGTTTCTCAAGACTCAACCAAGACTGGGAGCCTCAGATTTCATTATTAGGGTCCCTTGAAACTTGTTCTCATGTTCTGACACATATATATATATATATAGTCACAGACGACCGACCACCTGCTGTTGTGTCACAAGCGGTTCGAGCTGCCGAGAGATGGACCCGAAGGTATGTGGAGGCTGAAAGACGTCGAATCATGCGTTTAGCAGAGACGGCTGGGATACTAAGAAGATGTGTTTGGCCCTATCTTTTGCGAGGGATGCATTATTCTCCACCCCAGATTGGCAAGCATGTGGCTGCGGTTCAAGACCTAGTTGGCCCAGGCTGAAAAGTGGGATCCACGGATACGTGCAGAGAGAGAGGAGCTTGAGTATGGGCAAGTGAGAGGTATGCATTAAGCAGTCCGGCACGTGTGGTGGGAGTAATTTGAGATGGGTCAAAGGAGCGTGAGAACAAGAAAAGAGAGGAGAAGGACAGGTTTACTTACTGCAAAGAAGATGTTGTTGCCACCCTTACTCACATTTCTTATGACCGTTGAGGAACGAAGGGCTCGTGCCAAGCAGGAAGAGATTGAAGAAAAACAGAGAAAGGAAGAGGCGAAAAGAGCCAAGCACTTGCTCTTCAGTTGTGAACTTGCTCAGCATGCCAGAGATATTCCTTGTGTCAGTGTGTACCCCAGCGAATTCTACTAGGCCTACCCATTTCTAATCCTGGCCAGGAGAAGCGTCGCAGACTGGAGGAAGAGCAAGCTGCAGAAGCCGAGAAGGCCAGATTTGAGAAGGTTTGAGGTCCATCCTGAAGAATCAAGAGACCTTCTGTGTTGGCGAGGAACGTCTTCAGCGTGAGCAGCGAAAGCAAGACAAGCAGGATGGCGCATAGTGTCCGAGGAAGTCCTTGTAAGAATGCTTGTAACTTAGAACAAATGGAGCCGTTGATCTGACCTGTAAAAGAGGAAATCGAGAAATGGAGAAATCAAACTGATCCGAGTCATCCGAGCTTCAATTTCTTCAGGCGGCCAAGACCCTGCGCCAACGCTTCAAGAAGAGCGTTCAAGCTCAGTGCAAATTCGAGGCACTCGAGATGGAGGCCATAGCAGGGCGGCTCACGGAAGATCCGAAAAGGGTCGGTGACACTTCCAGTTTTACGTTATGGTGCAATTGGGACTAGTAGCTTCTTGCTACTAGTAGTAATGCCCTTGTTACTAGTAGCGATGCCCTTTTTATGACCCAATTGGGAACTTCTAGTGCAGTTGTGTCACAACCTAAACCTTTTGTCAGCTCACGATGGTCACCGATGTCCTCCTTTGATCAGACGCAACTGAGCAGAGCAAGTGGTTTTTGACCTCATGCAAAAACAATCCGGCTGCACATGTCTTTAACTTAAGCATCCCAGACTCTTTTGATGGTCTCTGAAGATGTCTAAGATTCAATCTCCAAGTTGTCACCAGGAGTTGCAGGACTTCTGTTTGCCTTTGGATGCTGAGCGCTTGCAAGAGCTTTGTGAAAGTCTTGAGGCACATCTAACATGCTATGTGGTGAAGTTGGTTGAGCTTTGTGTGTTTTTTGGAGCCAGCTTCTTTTTTCAGAAAGGGACGCTGTGGTGGCCCACGTTTTTTACTGTGCAATGGAACTGCATTTCTTATTGTTTCTTTAATCTTTCAAACTCTTCAAGCAAAAAAAGGAGGATGAATTGCATTTGCTACATCAAAGAACATGTCAAGATGGAGAACACTACTATATGTTGTAAGCGGTCCCCGCCCTGTAACAGTATAACAATCAATTTATCTATTTCCAACTATTCAAACATTTACACCAGCGCACCCTCCATCCAATTGGTGTCCTAGGCCTGTTTGGCTCTCCTGCTTTTTCCATGTGCTTCCTTTCCATTCCAGTCATTTCACCCGGGCGCGGCCCCTACCCACACAGCAATACAAGCGACCTTACCTCCACCCACACCAGGCACAATCTCAACCTTCCGCCCACCCAGCACCTCACCCCACCCAGACCGTCCATTCAACCTCAAACCCACCAAGTCCCATGCACATTGATCATGTCGTAGAATTTTTATGTTGTTTCGACTTTGAGTTTTGATGCGAGTTTGCAGACAAGAGCGTGCCCGGCAGGTTCAGCCGATGCGTTTTAGACACCAAACACAGCCGTTTCTGAGAATGTGACACTGATTCGTGACCAATCAAGTGACAGCCGACAGATTTGTGATCAATCAAGTGACAGCGGCCCTGAAACCATAAAGGCCCACTCTTCATTGCAAGTGACCTCCCAACATCACAATCCGAACATGAACATATATATATATATACCTTGGACAAAGTGAATAGTCGTGGAACGTTTTAACACATACATACACACACTTTACATGGCACACAATACGTTGCGTAATACATTGGCGCTTTGAAAAAATCTTGCACAGATTGAAGCTACAACGATTTATTGATTGCGGGGGCACAAATGCGTCATTGTACATAGGTTTCAGCTCCATTATTAACATTTCACAATGCTTTGCCCAGCGGCACACCTGGACCATGTTTGTTCCCACATGCAATGACCAAAAATTATGGGATTACACCACATCAATAAGGGCCTTCAGCGGGGAACTGGAACTATTCCAACCACCTGAGGTACACTCTGGGCAATGCAGAGAAAGCCATCAGAAAGGGTCATTGATATATAGACCGTCAAAATGGTCATGGATATGACTGACAAGGTTATATAACGACGGCGCGAAACTTAGAATGTGGGCCCACAGATATTTCAAAACACACTGCCAATTTAGAATGGGGGTCCGAACCCCCCAACTTAGAATGACTTTGGCTTGCTATATATTACAACAACAATTCTATAACTGTGGCTTGCTACAAACTTGGCACAAATGCTGCGGTATGATATCCTTCTAAGTTTAGCCACCACTGCAACCAAAAACATCAAGCTAGATCAAATTACGCTTCAAGACTCTGACGGCGGCCCTGGCTTAGAATGACTTTCGTTCATTACATCCCCTTGGAGAAAATCCAGCAAAGTTCGGTCCTTCCAGTTGTTTTTCTTGGTGTCCTTTCTTCAAAAAAGCAGTCGCAAAAACCATCTCTGCTGGAAAACAAAGAGTGATTCCCTTGAATTTCCTGCATTTTCCCTTTCATTTTCTTTAACTTTTTTTAATGTTCCTTTCATTTATGTTCCTGTCATTTTCCCTTCATTTCAATTTAGTTTTCCTTCAATTTCATTCCAAAAAAAGAAACAATAGTGATTTAAGAATGAAAAACAAAGTGTTTTACGCGTGAATAAGAACGTGATTTAAGAGTGAAAAACACATGATTTCCTTGAATTTCATGCGTTTTCTGTTCATTCTTCTTTATTTCTTTTCACATTCCTTTCATTTTCGTTTCACTTCCTGTAATGTTCTTTTCGTTTCTTCAATTGTTTTTCAAACATAGTGAAAAACAATGATTTAAGAGTGAAAAAACACGAGTGAAACAATTTTAGAATCAAAAATGAGTGATGTCCTTGAATTTCCTTCCATTTCCGTTCATTTCCCTCCATGTTGTCTTCATTTTCCTTTCAGTTTCCTTGCTCTTCCCTTCAAACATCGACAAAAACCAAAGGGAAATGACAGGAACCAGCTCAAAACACAATTTTTCATTATTTTTAGTATTTTTTTTGACTGCAATTGTCTGTAGAACACTATTTCAAATCAATCTTTGTTTCACTCCCAAATCAAAAAATATTTTTTTTCTCCCACACCGAGCAACAACTCTCAATTGTAGCCACTGATCGGTGATTCTAAGTTTGGCTGTTGTTGAAAAGCGCAAATTTGACCAGAGGCATTCCAAAATCAAAAGCCACCGTCGGACTTTTTGCAAATGATTGTTTTTGCGAGCATGCCAAACTGTTTGGTCATTCTAAGTTTTTTGGCCCGTCTGACAAAACTGAGGGTATTGTCACTTTTTTCAATAACACCCATACAATTTAGAATGCACGGCATCCTATGTTTGTTTTCCTGCACAGGCACGGTGTTTTTTGGCCAAAACGTCCCAAAGTCAAAAGTGAGGAGGGGTTTCTGGTTTTTACATTTTCTTTTTCTCCGAAGTGACCATAAGTCATTCTAAGTTTCGCACCGTCGTTATATTGGTCCCCTACAATGCTGGAATGCATTGGGTTCAACTGGTGCTGGACATGAGGCCATTGTTTGGTAAGTATCAAAGGATTAGGTAGGCATCATATATTTGTTTGATTCATGACTCTGAGACTTGCAGATCGGCGATTGAGATCATAATCATGTTGGATGCTTTGCTGCAATGGGGATTGGTGGATACGTTTGTGTTCCAAATAAGGCTTTAGCAGAATGACAAAACTTAAAGTCAAATCCTTCAAAAATCACCAAAAATACTGAAAAATACGGGTCCTCATGGCGTCCCTCCCTTTTTTGTTTCAATTGTGCGAAGCTCGTCATTCTTCGACCGACCTACTTTGCTGGCCTGCCCCAAGTTTTTGTTCACCAAGTTCTACCTGCTAGAGCTCATTGTCCTGTCTAATTCTTTCCAGCCTCTTCCGCTTCTGCCCAACTCATTGGCCACTTCCAGAAAGGCTAAGCAGCCTGGGGATGACTCCGAAGCCTTTGTTCGCCAGGAACTGTCGGAGGCTGTTGATTCTGGCTTTGGGATCCGGTTTGGAAGTTTTGGAGTGCTGCAAGGGGGTTCAGTGGAGTTGAGAGGCTACTTCTGTGGAGTTGTGAGACTGCTACCGGATTGAGCGGCTTTGCTGGAATGTCACAGTCAGCTAGCAACTGCGAGAGCCAGGAGAAGGGCCCCCCTTACCAAGTCTTTGGTTGCAAAATAGGATTGTTATTTTCAATACGTTGCTGGCAGGGAACACAGTACTTGTAGCATGATGTATAACTAGGTTCTTGCCTCTGTAGCGGTCAAGATCATGACCTTGAGCAGGCACGTGAAGGCTCGGATGCAGCAAAGATCGCATGAGCAGTGTAGGACCTACAGGTGTTTGTGTCTCGTTCTGAACCCAACCAGACCAGGTGTTTGCCTTATGGTAGACTGGTAGACATCGCTGTTGACCATGTATTTTGTTTCATTTTCCGCTATTGATCGGTTGTATTGGTTAGTCAACCACTTGGTGGACAGGATCAGTCCTTGGGTTTCTTGGTCAGTTGACAATATAGCTTTAAACAAAGCCGTTTGAGATTTATTCATGGCCTTGAGTGCCATTGATGGCCCCCCTAGCCAGCAACTCGTGAAGCAAATCGGCAACGAGACATGCATCACTATATAGAAGATACGGTAATACCAACAGGGATTGTTTTCACCAGCATGAAGCAAGAAGTGGTCATTGGATTTTGGTCTCAGCCGCATGCTCAAGCGTGGGGTGGCCTTTGACCACGTTTCCACCTGCGGATAATGTTCTTCGCTCCGGCGCGGTTGGATGATGGAACTCTGGTAGAATGTGGGTTACTTTTCTTCCTGACAATTTGTATAATGTGCTTTCTTGTTTTTTTGAGCTTCATGTCCTTTCTGGCCTATTCAATGTATTCCCGACGGCTTGAAGACCTCGCTTCCTTGCGCTTGCAAGCTTTGACCGTCCCAGCAAAACGCAAAAACACCAAGCAACAAAGTCGGGGCCGGCTTAGGCATGAAGTGTGCCGCCACAGTGTCTCGCTGTCGGATAGGATGGTGAAGGCCTTTGGAACGCTCTGGTCTGGCCCCAATAAAACATCCAGTCTGATCGCAGATGATGCTGAGCAATCGATGCCTTCTCTGCCCTCCCCATGTTCTTTTCAGAGCATACTGGAAGATAGGGAGAGACTTGCTATGCTTTTGGAGGAAGCTGCAGGAGAGAGCAACCGGAAGACGGAAGAAGTTGCTCGTGTTTCGAAGGAACTTAACAAGACCACTGGACAGCTTGAGCGCCTCCGTGTGTGTCTGGAAGCATCCCAAGGCATCGAGGCCGAAAATCAATGTATTCTCTCCGAGAATCATGTGCTGAAGACTGAGATCGCCGCAACTCAGAAAGAGCTCAAAAACCTTCGTGAGATTGTGGATGAGTTGCGCCATGATTGCCTGTGCCCAATCCACCAAACACCCATGCAAAGCCCCGTTGTGGCCGCAGATGGCCATTCCTATGATCGCAAAGCGATTGAACGATGGGTTTCCCAGCATGGGACGTCACCTATGACCAACATGGCGCTTCCAAGCACTTCATTTGTGCCGAACATTTTGGCGAGCAAATTTGTGGGGTGCTTGGAGCGAGCTGATCCTTCCTGGCGATCACCCATTGAGTATACCGAGAGTGATGAGGAAAGCTCTGAGCACACTCCCCGTGTGTGGATTTCTGACTCTGAGGATAGCCCTCATGAAACTGGGACTCCACGGGACGTGTACAACGAGGACTCCGCCGCTGAAGTCCTTCGAGCTTTGTTAACAAACAATGACGAGACAGCTCCAGTAGAGGCTTTGTGGAACGTCAGCAACGCGGGCAGTGATGACGGGATGCAGTGACATGGAGTGATAACATTTAGCCTTTATGTAATACTGAGCTTTGCAGAGCCGTTTTTTTGCCTGCATTTGCTCACCCAAAGTGGTGGCTGATGTGTGGTGATTGTCACCTAGTTGAAGAAGTACGGTAACCCACAGAATTCAGTTGAAAGTGTTCTAACTTATGACTTATGAATAGAATAGAATAGAATCATTGCCACCTTCTATTTATTATAATATACACATGATGCTTTGTTTTCGGGTTTTGACTGCATGATGATGTGCAAACCAGCATCCCTTTGTGGTCACTTGCAGATGTAGAGATGCTAAACAGGTTGATGACCACTAGAATGGCCTTGACCGTCTGTGCAAAAAACGTCGGGGGACAAATCTGCGCATGAACGACTGACTTGATCAAATCATGATCCAATCATCACAAGGACACTGTAACTTGGACCAATTTACAGGAGCCATCTTGTGCCATGCAGCAAAGAGTTATATGCATCAGGCGAAGAGGCGACGAGCGGAAGAGCATGAAAGACAAGAAAGGCGGACGGTATATGAGTATTGTTTTACCTTCAAAACATGATAGTGCGAAGAGTTCCCTGTTGTCTCTCTCTCATATACTTTTGCCCACAAACTTGAGATGACATCAACAGTTGGCATTTTGTCAGCCTTCAATCGGTTGAAGGCAAAGACAAGAGGCCAGAAAACGTGAGCAGAAGGCCAGCGAATCCAAGGAGCTGAATCCCCTATGAGCATGCCTCAACGGTTAAAAGTCAAAACCTAGAGAGCTACAGGCTACTTCTTTGGATGCGTGTTTTAAAGGCACTCCCGACATAAACAAGGCAGTTCAATCATATGATACAACAGACAAATTATTAGACTTCCTCAAGTCGGAAGCCATGTACCATTTTTGGTTGCCTCAGGTCCACTAAAACCTGTGGTGCAAAACTGCATAGTCATCGTAGGATTTTGCAAGCCGTGCTGAGTCCTTAAGCTCTGGGCTTTCGTGTACTTTTCATTTGATGAAGCAAATGCATGTTCACTCTACTATCACCTCAGCGCTTCTTAGCTGGGTAGAGGATCGGTTGCGAAGAACCTTTGTCGTTCCAGGAGTCCGTGCCTTGGAAGACCGAAGAGCTCGGTTTGCTAGCAAAAGGCCTTCAGAAGTGCCCTGGCCAAAACGAATGTGCTGGTAAATGAGAGATGACGCATGGCCTTTGAATGCCAGTACTAGTGAGAAAGTGGTTCAGGGTGGCGTTGTGAAACATGGGTTGTGATGTGTCCCTCGCATTAGTTTAGGTATGAGTTCCGTTTTTTTTCCGCTTATAGTAATTGGTGACGTGAACCTGAATGATCAGCTTCATCGCCCCTGTGCAACTGAGGTTTCCTGGTGGCATGGGTGGACGTTGGGCTCTCATCACGCCACTCAGATGACATGAAGCGTTAAACAGGGAGCAAAATTGGAGCAAGAGGGTGCTGCTCTCAGGAAGTTCCTGAATGACAGCGGATATGAAAGAACGGAGAAGGAGGTGGTTGAGAAGACCAAGGAGAAATTTGCATATCCCGATTTCCTAACACGGCGGCCCAGCATCAACATCACATTCACATTTTTGACCAGACAGAAATAGATGGATGAACAAGAAACGTGGCCCTCACAGTCTCCTCAAGCTGGCTCTTCACTGTTTGTGGAGATCATGTGCTTGTGAGGAGCTCTCAGAAGGACAGTCGCTGAGATCCATGGGCTCCAAGATCGCGCAAGAGGGTCCCAGCTTCCAGGCCTGACCAGCCCTAGTGCTCCACCGGTGGTGATTGCGTTTTGATGAGGCCGCGCCTAAGCCAAAGGCCAAGGCACAGACCATGTTTTTCGGGTTGCTTGTGGTATGGAGAAGAAACATGGCAAGTGGAGTGAGGTAGTTGAAAGTGGCAGGCAGCAGCAGTGATTTTCAACTCGTCATTTGAGAGCACATCCGACATAGGAAACAAGAAGCTACTATATAGTAACAAAGGGCATCGCTACTAGGAACAAGGACGCTACTAGATACATGTCAAGGCTGCAGCTGCGGAACCTCAAGAGGTGCCAAGCACAGTCTGAGCGTGGGGCCAATTGGCAGTTGGTGGGGAAAGCTCAATGTTGGCGTGCAAGCTGGGTTTGTCTGACTTCAATACACCTTGTAGGAGGAAAACTGGACAAGAAGGCGGGGTTTGCACAATACAGCTGGCAGGTAGTGGGATCCGAAAATGGGAACGCTGAGAAGAAGGCTGGACAGCACTGACCCGCAATCGTTCGCTGGCGACCTTCCTGCCAAATGGACACAATAAGCACAATAAGTTGCGATGTGCTCCTAGTAGCGATGCCCTTTGTTACTAGTAGCTATTTGGTTGTAGTGTGGTTCAATTTTGAGTGTGTGACTGTCCTTTTTTGGGGATGGTCAAATCCCACAGGATGCAGAGTGGAGTCCCGAGCAGCAGCAAGCGCTGGAAAAGGCTCTACAGAGGACTGGCAACTGAAAGCTTGCTTTCGTAAGATCTAGATTCTACATAGGCGCAGCACCTGTGTGATTTGAGTGGATTTCATGCTGTTTCTCCATGCAGGCATCCGGCCAGTCTTGATAAGAACGAAAGATGGAAGCTCATTGCTGCCGATGCTCCTGTCTCAGCGACTGGCTGATATTTGTTTTTACATGTCTCAACCTTGTCTTTGCCACTAGGTGCCGGGTAAGAGCAAAGCTCAGTGTGTGGAACGCTTCAAGTTTCTC